CCGCACCACGGGCACCGTACACCCGGGGCTGGGGCCAGAGCGGATCCCCAGGCCGCGGCTCCGTACACGCAGGGCGGCGTCGGCTAGGCGCCAGAGCCCGATCCCGAAGCCCGGGGAGACAGTGAGCACCGAGAAGCGGCAGCTGCAAAGAAGCTTCAGCCTTGAGGACCCAGCACAGTGGGCGCAGGGATGCCAGAACATCTGGCACCAAGTCAACAGTGACCTCCGCTTAGCCTCCACCTACCAGCCAACGCTACATTACACACGACACAGCCCACGCAAACATACGCAGTCTCTCATACACACTCCCCTCCACCACAGCCACGCCCACAGCTGTACTCACCTACACCCACAGCAGCTCACATGGGTGCATGCGCACGACACTCTTCCACAGACAAACACAGGCGGATACACAGGCAGCTCACATGGGTGCATGCGCACGACACTCTTCCACAGACAAACACAGAAGAAACTAGAACAAGCACGACACACCTTACACATAGCTGTCATGGGCACACGTTCTCACATTGTCATTCACCGCCACTCACATCATGCCACCGGAGACTCATGCACGCCATTACACATTAAAACACACAGGCACAGACATATAAACACTTTCTCACACATTCCAGCTCACTTTCCATCAAAACAACTGACTTGTCCATTTCCTGATTGATAGAGATTGATTCTTGTAACCACTATGAGTTGATTCTCATACATAGCCATTATTAATACTAATTCATGCCTTGATTCATCATTTCTGGAGTTATCCCTCATCATTTTTCTGCCCACAGGGATGTGCATACTATTGACTAAGGAGGCTTGAACGAAGGTGCTCAGTGAATAGTGGCAAAAGATGGAGAGGCAGGTAGAGAGGTCTCAAGCCCGCAGTGCCCTGGGAGAACGTGGTTTGGAGCATTTGGCTAAGATGGTCTACACTCCCAGGGTCACAGCCAGATCAGACAATGGGTTTTATGCATGTTACTGACTCACTGCTGTCCCCTATGCCTGGCCACTGTCCCTCAGTGGAGAGCTATGATCATGGGCTGGGGTCAAGAGACTTGGGATTTAGTCATGGAGCCTTCTCCAGATGACTTCCCTGTGGTACCATGCCTCTCTCACCTGGCCAGGTCCAGCCTACTACCTGCAGGCCCACCCAGCTTTGCCTAGGTCTGCCTCCTTGCCTTTCCATGCTAACCCCTTCAGACAGAGCTGATCCTGACCAATCTGCCAGGGATTCTGGCTCCACCTACTTGTCCTTGGTGGTCATTCCAAGCCTCCCCATTGGCTTTTTGTCTAGTTCTAAACAGTTGGGGCAAGAACCCTGCTACCCAGGGCAACAGAACCACAGTGCTTAACATTTCCTCCCACAGTTTGAGGGCTTCCTCTCTCTAAAATGGCCTTTCCTTTATATGAGGACCTTGCCTTTGGAGGTAGTGAGCTCTCAGTGAATCTGCAGGTGGCTCACAAGAGTCAGTGAGCCTGTGATGGTCTGAACATGCTACACTGAGCATGGGACTGCTGGTGAGAAGGCCCGATCCATCCCAACCGCCCAGCCTCTGGCTTCAACTGCCAGCTCTCATCCCCCCACCCCAGACACCTGTGTCATCTGACAAGGCCTAGCTTTGGGGGTCATTGCCAAGGCTATGGGGATAGTGCGTGTCAAAGCCCTAGTTCATAGTCTTCTCAGTAGGGAGATGCTGTGCTGGCGCCATGTCATGGTCCTCTGGGGTTTTGTTCATTCAGGACTGCATGGTGTTTTTGTCTGACTTGTATATCTTTGAATTTTCATTATCTCCCTAGTCCAATGTACCAGGGCTGTGCAATCTTGACCTAGGTACGGCAAAGGGGAGGGGATGTGGACAGTATGAGTTCATTGGTGTAGAACATATCTCTAATAGATGTCCCTTTTGTCTGATCCACAGACAGCAGCATCTTATACTGTCATGGCCACGTCCTGACCCTCCACATATGCTGAAGCTGATATAGGTTTGTGTCCAACACTCACAAACCTCCCAAGAAAGCCATGCAAATAGAAGGGCTGTGTGGGGATGGGGAGAACCGGGTCAGGGGGTGTGCCAAGAGTGTACAAGCAGGTGGATCAGGAGCTGGGCCAGGGAATTTATAAGTGAGCTAAGTCCATTCAGACCCTCTGTCTGTCCTGGCTATCCCTGCAGGAGCTACCCCTCAGCTGTAGCCTGGCAACTTCTAACCCTGGGACAACCCTCTGTGGGTCAAGGTGAAGTCCTTCATGGGAGCAATGGAATGTGGGAGCCAGGAAAGGGATGTTGCATTCTGCCACACAAATCCTTACCTGTGGCCACACAAGTACCTGTGCCCTGCTCCAGTGGTTAGTCCATCTTAGTTCAGAGTAACCAGTCTTAGTAGGCATGTGTGTGGACCTTGAGGGTGTTGAGATTGGGCCAGGACCCAGATTTCACTGTCTCCTGGTCTCCTATTGTCACCTCCCAGGGTCAAGGTGAACTATAAAGATGAGGCTGGTGTGACACACAATAGTGTTCTTTCACCATCACAAGCTCAGGCTGGAGCATCTGAGCTTGTGTAGTACACAATTACTCAGAAGTACTACCATTTCCAGTGGGTTTCAGGGGAACCCCTCCCCAAGAAACCACCTCCAGGGGCTCCCCTGTGCAGCTGGGCAGTGTAGCCAGTGACATCTTTTCCCCAAGGCTCCCCACACGCACCTGGAGCTGTCTGGAACATGGTGTCTTGTTTTTGAGAGAGCATCTATGCTTTCTTTGATGGAAGCACCTTGGCAACTGAGGTTTAATAGGTTTCCAGGCATTTGGGGTGATGAAAATGAGTTGGGCATCCCTAAACTTAATGGCATCCTTCTGTATAAATGGACTAGCATGGTAATTATCTAATAAATAGCATGAGGTGTTGCAGGCTGAATGTAGTGTGGAATCTGGGGAGGCCACTGTGGTTTCACAGGCCAGGAAAGACTGCATGAGGCCCCCAGGGAACTATATGCAGCTGTGGTTTTACACCATGCAGGACTTGGTACAGTTGCCTGAAAGCTGAATAGGAAAAGGACATGGCTTTACTAGCTGGAACACGGGACAGCAGCAATGATCAGGCTGAGAATGTGGCTGGGAACAGGCAGTAGCCACCTTAACTGGCCATTTCCTGATGTGGTTGAGCAGATGTGAGATGGATTCCTCATAGAGACCCTCGCAAAGTTTCAGAAATGCCTCTCCCATATGCTCAGCAAACACTAGCACTATATGTATGTGTCTACTATGGACAGCCTTGAGGGGCCATAGTGGTGGTGTGGCATGGCTTTAGAGTAGCTGCCAGGTTTTCTGATGTCACAAACTATCCTTTATCTAGAAGGTAACTGTAGGGTAGGGGTGGAGCTAAGGCTACTTAGGTTCTTGCTCTCCCACTGCTGTCTGGGGATAGCCTCCCTTTGAATCTTAGTTCTGAGACCACCAGATGGTCTCAGCAGGGAAACCTGCCAGGTTGGGGTGGTAGACTGATCTTTCCAGCCTTCCCATTCTGGATCTCTCTCTCTCTCTCTCTCTCTCTCTCTCTCTCTCTCTCTCTCCCTCTCT